CTGAACTTGAAATACTTGGATTCATCATGGCTTTAATTCCTAAAATGGCGCTCATATGGCATTGGAGGTTGCAAACTGCGGTGGGAGGGAAGGATGCCTCCCACGCAGCTGGGGTGCGGCCGTGTGCCAGCCTGGGAGCAGGATCAGGGACCGGTGGGTCCTCCTGGGGTGATGCTGCCCGGAGCTGGTCTGGCGGGGGGCAGAGCCGAGCAGATTTCCACCTCCTCATTGCCATGCTCCCTGTGTCCGTCTGGTGGGCAAGGTTTGGGAAGGGGCTGGGACTGCTTATTGTTGTGGGGTTGTTTATGGACACATACATCCTGCAGCCTGCCAGGCCGGGGCCGGGGCGAGGGGAGGCGGGGGGCACGACAGCAGGCTAAGGGCTGGCTGGAGAATTTCCAGCTGCAGGAAGAGTCGTCCATTTCCAAGCCTGTGGCATCTTCCTTTGGGGATGCAAACAAAGTACTTAACCCGGCAGCGGTTGGGAGCACTGACGTACTCCTGTTGCAAAAACCTCGAGAGCCTCTGCCTTGATTTCCCTTAACACAACTTGGGCTGCGCAGCAGCAACCGAACCATGGCAGGGAGCATGTCCTGGCTCTGCCGGCTCTCTCGACTCTCGCCCTTCTGCTCTTTGTTAATGAGGAAGATGCATTTTTTGGAAACAGAGGCTGCCTCTAAGACTTGCAAACTCTCTATTTTATGACAGTTTTCATTTGCATAATGAAGGCCCTGATACCTTCAGTAATTAATCACATTAAGAATTGCTTCCTTGAATAATGCTATTCATGCAAGTTGTTCTTGGTGCTGGAAACTGCATATGATTTCCAATGTGCATTAGCCCATCTCTTTCATCAGCAGATGGAAGCTGGTAACTGCATGTGTAATTTATATCTGCTTGGGTGGAATTATCAGATGAAATATGCATTACACGGCGCCATTAACATTTCTAGTCATACAGTCTTTAGCTCTCGGGTAAGTTAATATTACATGCCAACAGTGTGTGGGACCATATGAAAGGCAAGGATTCGAACATGGGGATTTAAAAGCAGAAATGGAAAGTATTCCAGGTCAGACATATCAGAAATAGAATTAATGAAGCTGCTAAATTAAATGAGATGCATTGCCCTTTTTTGACCTACATTTTTTTTAAAATGTCCCATCTTGTCTCCATAGCTAAGAAAGCTGCCAGGCTTGCCTGCTGAATCGCCACTTGTAAGGGCAACTCCAGATCCTTTAACATCTGGAAAGCTTTCCCCTATAGGCTAGCACAAGCAGCAAGAGAAAAATGATTGAATCTTGGAAGGCAGCAGAGAAGATGAACGCTGCTGTGTGGGTTTGGATTTTTTGGTAACCTTGACAAACTTGGAAAAAAAAAATCAGATCAATTCAATAGTAAGAAAAAAAAAAAAAATCAGTTACTAGACTTTGCTCTCTGATGACAGTGCCAGGTTAGCCGGGGAGCCTTGTGCTCAGGTGTATGTTGGTTTATGCATGAACATTTTTATAGGAGATAGTCTGCTCTCCTGGAGTGTATTTCTTCGTGTGCTTTTTTGTCCTTATATAAATCACAGTTAATTAAAATACTGATTCCTGCTTGATAGGAAGCAATTAAATGACTGAAGCTGTATCCCATCTGCCTCTTATGTGTAGAGATGGAGAGAGAGTCCAATCCAAGCTGGTGCGGTGTGGGCTCGCAGGGCTTTCACCCAGCCCTGCTCTCGGGATCACGGTGCTCTTGCCCAGCTGGCGTTACTGCTCCGCATGCTGAGCAGCCGGTTGGGGCCAGGCCATCCTACAGCTCCTGCTGCTTGAGGGTTTTCACCCTTTAGAAAGGATTTTGGGGCCCAATGAGTTTTAACTGTTTTCAGGCCAAGCTAATTCTGCCCATGGCTGGGACCCTGGCACCTCTGCTGTGGGGAGCGTGCGTAGGCTGTTGGTAGGTGCTCCGGCGAGGATGCAGCAGCAAAGCACGGAGCAGCAGCAGCCACGAGCTGCACGGAGCAAGCAGGACCGGCAAACTCATCGGCCTCCTTCCTCGCTGACGATGCTGTGGCAAAGGGCTGCATCCTGAGCGGAGCTTGAGGGTGCAGCAGGCAGATTGCAAGGGTCAAAACTGCTTCAGACGCCGTGTGTGGGGTGTGCGTGTCGCTGGGACAGGGGAGAAGCTCTGAGCTCTGCTCCCACCCTGTGTGCCTCTCCAGCCCCAGCTGCAGCAGCACGGCTCGGCAGCTCAGCACCGGCCCGCAGCAGGAGCAAGGGCAGAGTGTGCCGGGCAGCTCACGCTGGCTGTACGGCTCTGCTTGGAGCTCAAGCCCCGTACCTGTTCCAGAGTCAGGCTGGGGTGGGGTGGTGCAGCGTGGTAGCTGGCTGAAGTTCCCTGGGTTTACAGAAACTTGTGACCACTCCTGGCAGCACCCGGAGATGCACTACCACTGCTCCCGATTGTTCCTTTCTGTCCAAGAGAGAAAGAAAAAGCATCTCTGCAAAATCCAGACTTGGACTTTGCTTAAAGCCTTTGAGTAAAGAGCCTTGTTTGAATGTAATTGCACCCCTGTTGCTACAAGAGGAAAATACACTGTATTGCTCTCTCTTTCTTGGAAAGCTCGGCTAGTATTTTCCCAGCCATTTGTGTATAGAGAAAGATAAATAGCTCTTTAGCAGGCAGAACAATCTATCCCCGTTTTATTGACATTCATGCAAGCAGACAAGGAGAAACAGTTTGGCGGTGCTGAGTGTAGGGGAGGGGGAAGCTCCAGCCTGGCGGAGCTGGGAGCACCCAGTGAGGCTGGGCTGGGGGTGCCGGGGCACGATGGGGCTGCTTGGGAGGAGGGTGAGAGAAGCCCTCCCAGATGCTGAGGCCAGCAAGCCCGGCCGCCTGGCCTCAGCCCCACAGATGTGTGCATCTCCTGCGGGTCCCCCCTGGCCCGCAGCAGTCTGAAGGATGGACTCGCCACCTCGCCCATCATTTCACTCCTCCCTATAAATAAAAAACGTGTATAGCAAATTTAGCTCTGGCTTCACACGCAGTGGTGCTATAGATAGATTTTTAAAGAGCTTGTCTCATAGTAATAATTCATGGGGAGATCAAAAGACTATGGTTTAATCCGGGGTCTGTCTGATACCGTAAACCTTGCAGAGTGCTAAGAATTCAATGAGCAGCATCAAAAGCCTGATAAACATGAAAGCCACCCAATTTTCTGCCTGTAAGGCTGGTGTGGCTTACAATGGGTGCTGGGGAGCTGGCGAGATGTGTATCTTCTCTGCAGTGCTTGGGTGCCATGCTGACAGAGCCACACACAGAGTTCTTCAACTTCAGGCTCCTGGAAGAGGTGCCTGGACTCCCTTAACATCTCAGTTGCTACCTGCAGCTCCGCCGACTGTATAAAGAGATAAGATTTCTAATTAGATGTCTAATTAGACGGTGTAGGTAGGCTTCAGGCTGCACTCCACCGCTTGGCACCGCCTTGTCCTCCATGTTTATGAATCACGGTCTGCGTTGATTCTCCGGAGCAATGTGGCAGAGACGTCCCAGGAGAGAGTGGAGCCTGGCAATGGAGCAGAGGCACCTCCCGTCCCCATGAGCCCGTCGGAGCGGCGCAGCGTTCCCCGGGAAGGCTCAGTGGCATGGTGCTCACCAGCAAGGTGGCTGGCTGTCCTCGGGGGGGACAGGATGCCACAGAGGGGGCTGCAGGGTCTGAGTCACCCTGGCACCTTAGCAGGGAAAGCTTGCAAGCTGCCGCCAATTTGACAGACTGCTGGAAGGTACGACCAGAGCCTGTCCACAGCCTGTTTTCTGGTGGACCATAACTAACAGCATGTGGAGAGAGCCCAGAGGCTGTCACTTAGCTCAGCCACTCGAGCTCCAGGGCAGCTGCCGTGGTGTGCCTGCATCTCTGT